AATTTAACTTTTAATTGAATTTGCGATATACTAGGTAGAAATTAAACTGGATCAAGAAATAGCATATGAGGTCTTATTTTTTTAAGTTTACTGTACAATTTTATTCTTATACTTAAACATCATTGTTTATCATGAAAATAAATATATTTACAATGAACATGCTTTTTTTATTAAACCTAATTCAAAAAAAAAAAAAACCAACAGTTTAGTTAGCTCAATGTTCTGTTGAATAAAAAAGGTACATTTCTATACAATTTACATAAATCCAAATTTTTATTAAGTGGGCTAATCACAAACAATAATAATAACTATTGTACCGAATATTATACTCTCTAAAAGTAGATTGGTTTACAGTTTTTAAGATTCAAGAACAACAAAAACTGATTAGGTATTTTAAAGTATGCATTATGCAATCTCTAAGATCATTAAATACTTCGGTTAAATCAATAAAAGTATTTGTCATGTTTTATTTTGATTAAAGTACATCAATTCAACTAACTTAAATATATTTAAAATAATATACAACTGTGGTATCAATACAGTAGTTATATGTTTATCTATATTTGTATTTACAAAATATTTATAATTAAGAAAAAATTCCAATTTTATAATATAAATATATATATATATATACAATGATGTAATACTTATTACATTTTATACTTACGATAAAAAAAAATCTAATCCTACTGTAAACAAAAAAATAATTAAATATTTTAAAACACATTAAGTAGTATTACATTAAGTTATAACTAGTACAATATACTTAATAATGATACGAGTATTTTTAATTTACTGTTGATGGTTACAAACTAAAGACCTTCTACAATAGTATGGCTCCCAAACATACAGGCCATAAAAACTAAAAATGGTTTTTTAAAACAAAAGGTTTATAATACTTGTACAAAATTAACATTATGTAAATTATATACATTATCCAGCATTATTTCAATTATTAATAAACTGCTTACTTTACACTTAAAATAATTAAAAATGTAATTGATATATTATTGTATACAATATATACTGAATTAAGTAGTTTTTATACAATATGGCATTAGTCAATTTACTTCTTTTTAAAGTACCTAATACTTATATAAAAAAATAATCATAGTAATATAAATAATATATATTAGTTTAATAATTAAGTCTTAACATTAATAAATGGAATTAGAATTAAAATTTGAAGATTCCTTCAATTACAGAGACATAATCAATAAATCAAGTAAACTAATAAAAACAAAATAAAATAAACTTAAAGTTTAACATTAATTTTAAGGCATAAATGATTTATTAATGGAAAATTAATAAATTTAAAATATTTTTGGTATCAAATTCCACTTCACTGTATATTGACGATCCCATGTATTACCATATTGTAAACAGGATAAAGTAGAAATACGCACACATTTATGGGACAAAGTAACTATATAATACAATGGATATAAAAGTACTGGCCAAGATGCTTGTAAACTGCTAAGATTAGGTTCAATTACTGGTAATATTAAAGCTAAATGTACAATCATGGTTCCTAAGTAATTGGGATATCTCACGTATGACCAAAAACCATCAACAATAATTCTTGCAGCTAAAGACAAAATAGTGTTCAAACAAATTAATTAAAAACAATCAAATATTTATAAAAAATATAAAGTAAGACTTACTTGAAGGCCTATAAACAGATATTGAGTTTACTTCATGCTGATACTTAGTAAAATCACTATAACGTTGACAAATAAAACCGAATAAAAAGATAATTGATGAAATACTTATAATGATGTAATTGACAGGTCTAAAAACAAATACAATTTAATACAATAATTTCAGAAAAAGTACTACAATAAACTTACAAATTGTTTGAAAGTAAAATTTGAATAGGTAAAAAATTGATAATTGGTTGTAAAAATTGTTGCATAATATTCCAATATCCATCTCTTTCTTTTTGTAAATAAAATGATGTCAATAAATTATATTCAAAAACCAACTTATCTAAAGCATAAATTATTTGCAATCCAGCAACAAAATAAAGATTAATGTTAACTGCATTTTTCAAAGATTCGTTTATCACAAGAGAATTGAATAAAATCTGTAAAAATAAATAAATAAATAAATAATAGCATGAATTAAGCACAACAAAGATGTTTTATTTTTTTAATGAAAACTTACGGTCATTAATATAGAATATCTGTAAAAAGCCAATTTAACATTAATAGACCCCAGTGTAGGATTAGTTGTTGTTCCAATAAATAATTTTTGTATAATATTAAAAGAATCAAATTTATTAATTTGATTTGTGGACTTTCTTTTAATATACAAAATTATAGAAATGATAAATGTAAATAATACTGATGCTACAATATGAGGTACAGTCTTTTTAGTCACTATTTCTAGAATAAAATTTATTGGACACTTGAAATAATCCATAGCCAAAACAATCAAAGCAGCAATAATAAAATTGATGAATCCTAAAACAAAATTATTTATCAATAACATTATTCAAAAAAATTATACTTATATGTAACTAACCTGAAAACCTATAATAGTTGAATGTTAAATTATCATCCACTAATGCTTTAGATTTTTTAGCCAAAGGTACAAGTGATATTAACAATTGAAGTAATACAATAGCAGCTGTCCATATAAAAACATCTTGATCATAATAGTTAGCTAATCTCAGATAACCTCGAGGAAAAGGTATCAAATTACCTTTCTGGAAAAAAAATAAAATAATTCCATGATTAAGATTATAAAAAAATCATTAAATTTAAATATTGTAATTACAGTTTTTATAGCAATTTTTGCAAGGATAACCAATAACGGCAATGATATGGTTAATATTATATTGCCAAATAATCCTCCAAATTCTTCTGGATAAGGCTTGTATTTTGTATTATTAATTAACTGAGATTCATCATCAGATTCTTCATTGTAATCTAATTTTGATGATGTGGTAGACATCTATAAACAAATTTAAAAAAAATAATACAAATATACTCAATTACTCTATAAATGCAATTAATATTATTAAACAAAATAAAAAATAAATATTCACAAATGATTAAATATATACCCAGAGTACAATAATGAACAGTGACAGCTTGGTAAATAAAATACATTTTATTCTTGATTTGTATTATTTCTAATATATATTGAGGAGAGAAAGGTCCAATAGACAATAAACCTCCCCAGAGTATATTTAAATAACTTAACCTATGTACACCGTTTAGCAGAAAACATACTAATTCTGCACACATACCAATATTAGAACTAATCTCAGTGTTAAGGTGGGGATACACAGAAGAACTAATAGGGCTGTAGCATATCCACTCACTGGATAGAACATAATATATATTTTTAGATACATAAAATTTTAAAATTAATTTATTATTTTAACTAATTTTTGTAAAATTTAAACTTAGGTCATTTTATTTTAACAATTTTGATATTATTTAACGATTATTAATATTATATTTCTTTTAATACATCACAAGTCAATAAGAGTGTTTATAAGAGATTTTTTTTAAATATCTAAACTTAAATTATTGATATATTTAAGAAATATAATTTTATATTTTATAAAGAAAAACAAAATAATAATTAATATTACTATATGAATATTTAATAAAACTTGTTGTGTTTAATTGTACAAGTTAACGACAATATATTGATAAATTATTCCAAAATGGTATTTAACTATAATAACTAGTCGAGTCAACTGAATTTTAAAATAGAGGGTCATCCACAGTACTAAAGCCATACATTTAAACCTTTAGAACACCATAAACATTTCCTATCTAACTACCCAAAATCACTAGTTGTATTCAACAGCCAACAATTGATATAAACAATAAATGATACTATAAATATTAGACTGTGAAATTTTTACATGACAAATTATTTTTAAAAACTAAGACTCATTGTTAATCATGTATAAATTTATCTTTGTATAACAAATCTAACGTTTCTATATAACAATTTTTAAAAAGTAATCACTCGATTTTGACAACAAAATAAATTAAGATAAACAAAATATAATTTGATTTATAGATAATTGTACAGCTCATTCTCATGAACTTTCTACAAAGTTAAAATCTGTAACATTTGTATGCTTTCACCAAATACAAAATAAGCTCCAACCAATGGACCAGGGAATAATAAATAATCTAAAAGTATATTACCAAAAACATATCTTAGACAAAGTTATTTAAAATTTTGAACAGAAAAAAATATCAATTACTTTTTGGGATTACATTTTAGAGGAATTAAACGCTTGAAACAACAATGTGATGTCTAAAACAATAGAAAAATATTTCTCCAAAGCAAAACCTCACTGATTATTATTTTTAATTTAGAAGTAAAAAATACATAATATGTATTAAAATTAAAAAATAATAATATATAAGTAGGTATATAATATTTCATGTTTACTTTTAATATATACAATATAGAATATGAAATTAATATGAAAAAAAAAAACATATAATTGAGTAATTGTATTTAACGAATTTCTCTATATTACAATTTTTTTTTTTGTTCCCCGTGAGACTTTGTTAAATGGAAGTTTCACTATGTATTATTTCTAGGGGTCAGATCACCCTTCAAGCAAACCACATGTGCATACTCAACTGACTTGGAGTTTAGTATGATTGAGGCGTCGACTTCAAGAAGCAAACTCTAACATGACTGCCCAAAAGAGAAATTACGCAATTAAATAAAAGGGTGAAATTTTGCCAATCTAAAAAACTGGACAGACTTACAAGCCCCACTTCATACAGAGATTATTGTATAACCGAAAAATCTATACTATGTAAACACCATTTGAGAATATCTATTTTTTAATTTACATTTTTAATATACAATATATCTATTATTTATAATTGAAATACATACTCTGTCACTCATGATATCTGTAACAGAATTATTTGTAGAGTTAACAACTTCTTTTACGGGCGTAGGGCTCTTTCTTGATGTTGAAGCAACAGGTTCAACAGACTTTTTACCTATAAGTCAATATTAAATACAAATGTTTTAAATAAATAAAAAGTGCTATACAAAATTAAACAATTTTACTTTTAACATCTTTCTTTTTAACAATTGGAGTTTCTTTTTTAGTTTCCAAACGTTCTACGACAACATGCGGAAGTCTTATATTCTTATTAGCTGATCTGGATCGAGTTCTAATCCTCCTCTCTATGGATCTACTTTTACTACGACGAGGAGTCGCTGGTTTTTTAGTTTTTGATGGTGTAGCTGACCTTTTAGACATTGAGGATGTGCCAGTATCGCTGGGTGAAGCAACCCCTTCTTTTCTTGATCTTCTAGTCAACGTCATTGTGATTATCTTAAAAATTAAAAAATTAAATATGATTTATTTTCTATACAATACAATAAGTTAAAATAATTATTCTAATATTACTGAACATTTACCAAAAAATACAAGTCAAAAAAACAAGATTATAGATATCAAAATCTTATAGCTTAGATTATCATGATTGTTAAATAATAAGTAGATATTAGATAGTTAATAATATATCCATAAGAAATCCGAAAACTAAAACAAAAATGAAAATATGTACTATAACGATTCCAAAGCATGGAGGCAAACTACAATGGCACAAAATAGTACAACATTGCTTGTCACTGTAGCTGTACAATGTAAACAATGATGCTAAGTGCAATTTGTAAACGGGAGGAGCAAAAAAATTCACCGCGTAGGTATTTTCGGCGGCGCGATAGCGACGTTGACTTGATGCCAAATTGAAAATAACAAGACCCTATATCATTTATAGACCCCGGGAGACCACCAACACGAAGAACCTCGTTCGGTCTCCGTTTAGTTGGTACTTGTTTAAACAAGAAACGACGAAAAAAAAACTTTTTCCTATTACCTATCCTCAGAAAACGATTCAGAGGAAGCGTTTTCCGTTTGTAAAAAATAGCCGATCAAAAAGACAGCATATTATTTCAACGTCAGAAACGACGAAAGCGTGATTCTTACCTATGTAGTTCAATGTTCAAAGAATAACACGTTTTCGTTAAAGCTGTTAGTACTGCGCGACCGGCCTCGAACTCACTTGATCGAGTTAAAAATTAAAACTCTCAAAACGCGGCAAAAACGAAAACGAGGGAATATTAAATTTTCAACTGATCAGATTATCATGAAAACGGTCAAACCCGAAGGTAAACAACGTTAGTGACGCCGCGCCGGCGCACGCTATTGGTGTATTTTTCGAATCTGTTATGTTTACGTTCCATGAGAGGCTGGTTTGTTTGTCTGTTAGCTTGTTTGTTGTACATCCATACGTTATAAAAAATTGGTTTCCCGCGTGCTTAAACGACTAACGGACAATCATTGGCCCTGCGCGCGTGCGCGTTACACCGTTGCGGGGCGTCGGATTGTCGGACCGTGGCCGGGAGCCGGTTATGTTTAGGTACCGCTAAAATGTATTATTAAAGGTACACGTATTTTATAACGACCTCACCACCACTACCACCACCACAGATCATCATCATCATTTCCCACAGTGGCATAAAGAGCAAACGTAACCTTCACCGAGGTTTTTAACATGTTTTTTGGGTTGATCGTACACCATGATTGCATCGTATAGAAATGAAATATTCGTAATTCCCAATATGTGTTAATATAATATGTAAAATATCAATTAAAAACGAGTATTTCCGTACTGTTATGCATATCAGCATACAGTTTCGGTTTGTTCGTTCTATAATTTGAGACTTTCTACTATTTAATAGTCTCAAACGGATCTAGACTTATATTATTAATAACCACATTTTAATGACATAAACGGAATAAATAATTTACAGCGATCATTAAATTATGTCAATATAATCATTCTGTTTATGAAGTAATACAGTAGGTATGTGTATTCGTATTGGTGTATGCACTGTACAATTCATAATTGAGAAGCGACATTCCAAAGTGTCTTATTGCCAAAAAATAAGAAAACTAGTTACACGCCAAAACATATGAAAAAAATGGCGGTGAATCGTTTAAAACCATCAGATTGTGCCTATCAGCCTATGTATACTATTTCTATTAATATATCAATTGAAAATATCGCAATCGTATCAATATGCATTATTGTTATTGATGAAAATTTATTAAAACATTCTAACACTTTGTGCAAAGTGACAATTGTCTATTGCCCATGGTGTTCTAAAAATCAGACAATAGAAGTACCTATCTCAAAATGAATTATTTCCTCGATTATTGTCAAAATGTGCTATATCCAAACTCCAAAGTTCGTCATTACGTACTATTGACCACATTAAAATGGAAATTTAGTATATTAGTCAGGCGCGTATACAAGGGGGGGGGGGTCTAGGGGTTTACCCCCCCCCCACGAAATTTCAGGAAATAAGTTTTATCGAATATGAATTACATCTTGTTTAGTACTCAATATATGAATAAAAATTTACAACCAACCAAATTTTAACCATACGATTTAATTTATAGCATTCAATATCTGGAGGAAATGTGGAATTAATACATTTTGAAAAAATGTAGTTAAATATTATTAAATTTCTATGATTATATCAAAATGTACCTATTGAATCGAAATAGTACACTATGGGCTATGGGCACTATGTCACAATCAAAAATTTAAATTAACAATTTAAGTAGAAAAATAATATATTTAAAGACATTTTGCTATTTTGGCAATAAAAATACATTAAGTATATTTTTCTCGATTTTTAACATGCTTAGCTTTTTTCTACTATTTAACAACAGTTCACAATAGAAAATTGTGTTTTCTGAATAATATGAAAAGTGGCAATTTTTTCGTGGCAGAGAGTTATTAAGGTATTATTATTTTGGTGTGTCGTCAGTGTACATGCATATAATGCGTTTCACAACAAATGTCCTTCGATACTAACGCATCAGATGACGATCTTTTACTCAAACTAGGAGTTCACAGTTAGGGTTGAGAAATAAAGAGCGAATTTTTTTAAAATATGGTTAGCAGTGGTTCTGCATTAAAGATGTATAGAAGATCTTAAGGATGTTATGAATGAAAATCGAGTAAAGGAGGGGGCGATGTCGCTTCTTTGTGGGACCTCAGCTTTAATTGTGTAACGATTTGAGCACGTGGTGTTTAGGCGGACGGTAAAAGAACGATTTGTCAGATATGATTTTATTAAAAGAACTAGAATATATTTTAATTAAGTCTAAAAGGATGGACAAAACAAAATGCACCTATGTAGAAATGATTTAAATATGCATAGTCAATATTTAACTATACCTACTCGTATAAAAAAGAAAATAATAGTAGATAATTTGTTATGATTCACCTATCATGTTTAATAATATAGCATATCTTATAATCTTTTTTTTTTTTAAGCCCAAATTTAAAATTTCTGAAGCTTTTAAAAAAAAATAAACCTAAAAACATGTTGATAAAATTTATTGTAGATAAATATAATACGATAATAATATTATGATACTAGGTATGTATAAGTACAATATTATTCTATATTTTACTATTAAAATTATTTTCACTCGACTTTCATTAACCGGGACAAAATTAATGACTGACCGGGACATGGTGTTAAAATCGGCGGACTGTCCCGGTCAAACCGGGACGAATGGCAAGCCTACATTTTACGGCCATTGCAAACTGCAGAAAAGTAATAAAATATTATGATCGTTTATTATTTATGTAAGGAAGTAAATGAATACATAAAATACTGAAAAGAGTGAAAATTGAAGATTAGGTTTATTTGTTGTTTAAAGTTTATAGATTATATTTGCATGTGTTATCCCTAATGTGAATATATAATATGACATAAACCCACGTTTTCGAGAAATTCATTATTATAATAATTGTTTGTTTTAGTTATACATATTATCGAATTATAAATTAGTTATAATGATATGACAAGGAAACAGATAAGATATCTATTAAATATTGACTATTGTCAAACATACAATCTACACTGCTACCGCAGATTATATATTATGAAAAATCTAACATTATTAATTTTGTATATTATTTTTCATAATTTAATCTGTGCTGCTGGCGCTGCTGCAGTGCCTAATAGTTGTGAATGAGAATAATATTTAGAACTTAAGTAATAAGTATATTCATGTTATTGCAATACAACTTTGACTCAGGTCTACAGATATTTAATTGATTTATCATTGAACTTGTAGCAAGTAACACAATCGTAACAACTAACTAAACTTTTATTGTTATTTATTTACTCTATGCTCTTTAATCTATGAGCTATATTGTTATCACATACTATAATTTAATATTTACTTTTGTCTTTAAAATAATTGTTGAGCTGTAATAGTTATACTAAAAGCTATTAAATAATAATAATAAAAAAAAATAAAATAATAATATATTTACTTTTGTTTGCATTTAACCCTAGATATTTTTACATTTTTTACGCAGAAAATAAATTAGTTAAATCTGAAATTGTATTAAGTTTTTTTAAGTATTGAAATTGAAATAAAATGATTTTAATCTTATTTTTTAATAGGTAATATAGTTATAATAAAATTGTGAAATTTGTAATCAACAATAAAATAGATTATTGTTGATCGGGTCAGATTCATTCGTTAAAGGTACACACAAAAAGAGCATGTTTTGTTCAATACGAAATAAGAAATTATTAATATGATGAAAATATCATTATTATAAATTCATGTTTATACTACGTTAATTTAAATTATGTATGGTGTATTAATGTATTATATAACGAATTAATATAATCAGAGGTCCATAATTTTAAATCACATAAAATGGGATCTGCAGAATAAAAATTTTCTATGTTGCGCATGATTGAGGTAGTAAGAAATTAAACAGTGCGCACTGCGCATCAAGCAGTATCAATTATGATTGATGCAATTTTCTTGATTATTCTTATGAATTACATCTGAATATTTAATCTATCATATGTAGATACGTATTAATAGTAAGAGTATGGGGATTAATCCCTCAACTTTTCTTTAGGAAATTTTAGAATTTCATGTATGAGTAAAAAAATTGCACAATAAATGTTTATGTAATATTATTGATAACAATTTTTTTTATGAGCTCCCACCTCCCAAATTTTTTTGTTCATATCTCATTATATGACAAGTATAAATAATTAACCGATACCCACTAGTTTGCACTGTTTGCAGCAATTGCAGTTGTAAGAGGTTGGTTAAGTTTTAGAATGAGCCAAGAAAATCTTTGAATTTAATGACGATATAAATCAATTTTTTAAAAATTCGTGTCATAAATTATATTCAAAAAATTATTTGATAATATAAATGATTTTATTTTCTATAGAAATCTTAAGAAAGAATCTAAGTGCTTAAGTCCTTCTCGGATTGCGTTCATGCCATATCAGAATCTTGAACTGAAACAAAGTTATAAAGATTAGAGAGTATATTATGTAGTTAATAGTTATGAGTGTTATGAAATTTCCGTATATTATTGTTTATCAAATCTAAATAGATACCTTAATTCATGCTTTGTGCTGGGTAGTGGGTAGTTCATCGTTGTAATTCATATTATCGTAATGGTAATATTCGTAATTTGGTTTTATGAACGTAGGAATTGTCCAACAGTGATACCAATTATTTAGAAAAATAATTTTTAGTTTAAAGTAACAGCCTGTTTATTTTTGTTAAGAAAACAATCATTTTCAAAATTCTCAATATTCTCATACTATTTTATTTTACTCATTTATATTTTCTGTATTTGCTACTTTTATGAATTAACCATTTTCGAGTTTTTTTTGTAGTGAATCTATGTAGTGTTATCGAGTATTGTGAGCTTTGAGTAATAAACTAGTAACTTATTAAATGTTATATTAAAGTGTTATACTGAGATAAATTATTTTTTATTGTGTTTAATTAGTTATGTTTAAAGTGTTCAGGCATTCTACTGTTAGCGTAAACTAATCTATACGGTAAACATAAAATCTATACAAATCGTCCATTCATCGTTTTCAAATAATCCATCAGTATGTATATTATACTTTGTCAGTTTTTAAATTATTTGTATTCATGTTGTATATAAAAAGTTTATTAAATAATATTTTTATCCAATAACATTTAAAGTTTCATGGTACCAAATTGACTTGTTGGTTAATTGAACGTGTACTCCGTATGTTCGTTCTATATCTAAATAAATACCAATAGGACAATTTGGTTCTATTTACACTAAAAATTGTATTTGGATGAAACATTTGGTGCAAAATAGATTCGTCAGCTTTTCTGGATTCATTTAATGTATTATGTACCCTCCATTTGACTCAGTCAGACCTTAGAGTTTTGATTCACATTATTTATGAAAATGTATAGCTAAAGATTAATTTTTGAACAATTTAGTGTTTAGATATCTAATTTAACTACGTCACAAAACATTATTTATTTGCCTTAGAAAAATGTTTCATCAACTAGAATTGTGCGAGACAGCATTATTCCTCATAGACATGCAAAATTTATTGATGATCTATGCTATTATTGCTATTTATCTATATATTATATTTATATCTATAATTGCTATAACTAAAAGCCATTAAACATTTAAATATAACTTGTTAGATGAAAACTTTTATTTTAAATATTATATGAATAATAAATGATTAAATATATACAAAAAATTAATCACTATTAATGAGATATCCAGGTTTTTAATTTGTCTCTTTTCTTTTGGAAAGGAATAGGTACAATTGTATTGATTATCCAGAAGCACCATCAAACTTAAATTGTTGATAATAATTGTTTTTTTAACAATATCATTCTATAAGTAGAATTCAAAGTTTAATAAAACAATCTTTTAATTGAAGTTCTAGTATATGTTTTGATTTGAAATGTATCCAAAAATGACTGTATATGGTGCAAAATTGATGGACGATATTAATTCTAAAATATAAAAATATGTCATGTATTACCTATTACAAAATTACAAAAACTATTAGGTTATTAACGTATTATTTTGAAAATTATAAATGACATAGATTTAATTAATGTTTCTATACCGTGCTAATTTATAGATAATTATAGTTATGGCCTTTATAATTACTTTCCTTAGTCATGACAATAATCTTTTTTGAAGTCATGGCAAAAATACATATTGAAGATCTAGTGGGGTCTACTGTGTTACTGCTTATATGCTAATTTCTCTTTAGATTTTATTGCAACTGTTATTTCTAGGATACATACAAATTAATATATGTATGGTTAAGTCATAGATTATTATTTATCTGGGATATATTTACTATTAAAATGTTTTCTTTGATGAATAATAAACATTTGAATAAAACATGTATTAGGTGTGACAAGCTCATTTTGGTGTCCAATCCAAAGAAATGAAAGTTAAAACAGTAAAATATAACCTAACTTATTCTTTGATAAATAAATGAGCTTATAAATTAGAAGAAAGTTTTTGTATTATAAATGTTGTTATAACGGTGCTAAATTTAGAATTTTACCAAACTAACTCCCTTTATAAAATAATAAGTACTGCATTTATTTTATACCTCTTATGAATAATTTGTTGCTGAGATTAAAATGTTAAAAAGAAAATAATAAAGTAAAAGTTATGATAGATTTTGCTACTATAGCTTTCACAAGTTGTTGTCATGATATAGTCTTTTTTTATATTTTGTATTTTTAATGGTATATACTTGCAAAAAGTCTCATAACTATAAATTGGGACAGGTAAAAAAGGAAGATCTTTCAAAACTTTATTAAAATTAAAAAAATAGTATTACAAGAATATTTTTTATTAATGTACGTTTACAAAGAAAATGAAATGAATATTAATATTGAAATAGTTATTTATCAGTTCAAACACATAAATTCTATAAAAAAAGATTACTGAATAGTATTAATTTTTTTTATTTTGTTTAAAGTTTATTATTTTGAAAAAATTAAAGGTTATATGTTAAAAATGTTTAAATGTTCCTTAACACATTCACTACGGATAAGACAAAATGGCATCAATTAACATTGTTTACATGTGGTGAATGTTATTTTCCTTGTTACTAAATGTACTATAATTTTGTTTGCAATAAAATTAAATAATTAGCATCTTCTAAAAGTATTATTACATAATTATGTAGAAATTGTAAATTGGTATTTTAGTTTTTTAATTTTTAAAATAATTTATTCAGAGTTATAAGTATATTCAAGTATGATATGCAACTAATGTGTTAAAATAAAATTTATTTAAACTCTAATAGTCATTAAGGTCATTAAAACCTTAAAAATGTACTATAAATAACAATTATTTCATTGAAAGATTTAAAATTAATATAATTACTTAATCACATACCTATAAACAGAAAATTAAGATATATATGTAAAATATTCCTTATTTGTAAAGAAGATTCCTTTCCTAATTTAAATTTATGCATGCCTATGCTTTAAGAAATTCTTAATTTATTGGTATGATTATTGTTTTTATGCAACTATATAATTTCCATTAATCTAGATAAAAGAAATGAAGAAGGCAGAAGATCTAAAAAAAAGTCGATACGGTCGAATATCTAATAAGAGAAACTTTAATGAAGAGCTCGATTTATCTTTAGGTGAGTCCTATCGCACAATAAATTTTATATTGAACAAAAAAAGCAATGGAAAATCCTCTTCAACAGCCTCAAATAATACAAGTAATGGCAAAAGGAACGTATTTAACATCGGTGATATGGTGTGGGCAAAGACAGGGAAATATCCAGTATGGCCAGGAATTGTAATGACAGATCCAGAGACAAATAAGTTTTCCAAAAGTATGTTTAAATTAAGTATTTAATTGAGTCGAAAAATTTTAATTTTAATTATTTATAATACTGTCTTAGATAAGAATATGGTACCTATGTTGCATATCTACTACTGTAATGATGCTTACAAAAGAAATTGGATTAAAGTGAAACAAATTTCAAAATTCTCTGGTAAAGAAGAAATATTAGCTGAAATTCCAAAAATATTAGTAAGTTAAAACATTAATAATTTGTTATGATTTATAAAATTTGTTGTTTTTTGTATAATTAATATGCTTAGGGTAATGGTTATAATTTAGTCAAAAAGTGGTTTTTAAATTTCTATTGATTGCTATAGAATAGCTCATACTTAAGTTCTGTATTAACTCACAAAAATAATTTTTTTTGTTGATATAAGGTTGTTATTGCTTACAGAATTAAATTAAAAAAATAAAATAATTTGTATAGATTAGCTTTAAGTTATTATGACATTTTATGTTAAATAAAAGAAAATATGTTTAATTAATTGCTTATTCTTCATTTGTAAAACAAAATGTTATTTTTGTAGCTTATAGATTCAAAATATACTTAACTAATTTTGATGAACAATTCAAAGATTGTTCTTGGAGATAATAGCATTATTTTGAGAGATTTTTGAATTATATACAAAAATTTATCATGTGCTTTTATCTTATTAATTTCCATCTTGATTGAATAAGTTTACAAAGCAACTAACATGTCCACTAAAACTAAAATACACCATAATAGTATCATATTTTATGTTTATTTTTCCTAGACAGGGTTGAGTTAAACAGCTATTTTCACATAATTCATAGATATATGAATAAACTAACTATGAACAATGCTTATATAATTATTTTTTTTGTTTTTTGAAATATATGTATATATGTATTTTTTTTTTTTTGTATTCAGACACAAATTTCTCGCAGTAAATTAAAAATTAAATGGAATCGAGCTGTCGAGGAAGCTGAATGTTTAGCAGCGATGAACAAGTAAGAAATTAAATTAATGATAGTAATAGTAGTATTCAAAAAAATAATTGTATACTTTTAATCATTAAATATTTTTTCTATTTGTAAATTTTTTTAAATAAAAAATATTTTTATGTAATGAGATTTAATCTTCAAATTATATTGCAGAGATAAGCGTATAAGCTCATTTTTTGCTAACAACTTTTTTACATCTAATTCATCATCGACTAATGAGGTAGGTATATTAATATAATTTAATCAGACATTTAAAAGGACATCATACTCGCACATGTTTTTCCTGTCTTACTAACATATATCTCATCAACATTTATGTTCAGCAGTTCTAATTTTGTATGTTTTATCTAAATATTAGAGTGAAATGACCTATTATCATTCCTAAAATTAAGAACATCTGTATTTTGTTTTTGGCTTTTTTATGATATTTTAATTTTTAAGCAAATTATGAGCATTTTCGATAATTAATATTTTACATACTCATAATTCAAAATTTAAATACTTTAAAAAATCATTGAGAGAATGCAGATAATGTTGCAAGCTAAAAAAAAAAAAAAAACTAAAATTGCTAAATGTATATTTTGGTATAATTTGCGTTAGTAAGATGGAAACAATACATGCGGAAATGATGTTTTCTTAATAGTTTACTTATATATATATATATTAATGAGTTTTAACTTTTAAGTATATTTGATTAATATGAACCATTTTATTACATTTTTTCTTTTGTAAATAAATATTTCATTTATTATTAATGTTTGGATTTGAATGAAATATAAATAATTAAATAGCAACTATAAAAAATTAAAAAACTATGTAATAAGTTTCTATCAAATTAATTAATTTGAATTCAAGAAAATCCATTACCATGTACTTGTATAAATTGTCTTCTGTAAAAGTGTTAACAGTTAAGCATAGAATATACCTTTACTAAGAATTTAATGTATAAATAATTTTTTTTATTACTATTTTTTAAATCATCATTTATTGCTTCTTCAAATAATAGTTTTTCAATCTGTTGATATTTTATCATCTCTTATTTTTTTATTGAATTTATTTGAAATCAATTTAGTCACTTTACCATTACATTCTTCAAATTTAATCTGTATGTATATTCATAATATTCATACTTTTCAATAATAATACACCTAAAACATTTACAGTATATTTTAATATTTTAAAAATAAGTTTATTTTTAGGTAATTTATGTTACTCATGTTTCTAATTTTGTATTTATGTCAGGTAAAAGTAAAAAAATTGAATTTCACATACTTCAGAATTACTTTGTAACAATAAATTTCAGTCTTTTAGCTATTCTTACACATTAGAAATATTCTTTAAATGTATTGTCGTAAATTTCATTTAATTGAAATTTGTACAATAGTTTTTAATTATATCAATCCAAGTATCCTAGGAAGTGGTTATCAGTCTTAGGATTTAGTAATCCTGAATACTTTTCTTTAAGAATTTTAATCTCTTAGGACATTTTAAAAATTAACTGTTTACATTTTGATAATGTGTTCATACTTTTTCAAAGAACTTGTTGCATACTTATGTCAAACAAATTAAATGCATAATACCTATTTGTGTTACAGTTAGAATTGATTAACTTGGCTTTTTTAATATATATATAAGGAGCCACATCAGAAATTAGAAGTTAAATATTGTCATATTTTACACTATCTGACCACAATATATTGCTTCATCAAAAAGCTGTATAATTCTGATATAAATTGTACAATTTTATCTAAATAGTCTGTATGAAGAAAATTTTAATTTCTAACTTTCTACTTGAAAACTCGATCAACTATTGCATTAGCTGCATTGTAACATGATAGAATCTATCTAGTATAGACCTAAATTGTATGTTTAACTTCAGCACCACAAATTTATGATAAATCCTCTTTGTACTATTTATCTAACCTTACTATAAAATAGGTTCACATAGATTTTTTTTTTTTGTTACTATATTCCAATAAAAAAAGATCTAAAAACGTTATTCAATTTATTTAAAGGAATATTTGCCTCAACCAAAATATTACACAGGTCATAGTTGAAATTAAATTCGACAGTACTATTTGGATGAATAAAAGGCTTTACTTTTTATCATTTTAGATTTTTCCTAATGAATTTTTATGCATATCTTTTTCGATACATATGCAGAATTTTTTTATCATTTTATACTTTAATGTCACAAATGTTACCATATTACATAAATTTATTGATTGAAAATTTATTTTTTACCCAATATTGTAACATATTTGAGACTTATTTTTTTTCAACTCTGAAGGTATTGAAATAGCAGAATAAAATAAATGTGTTAAAACAATGTGAAAAGAGTTAGTCTTAGTTAATATAAAAAAATCTATTGTTATGACAAAACATTGTTATTCTTGTGTATCTATACCATTGCTCATTGCATTTGTATTTATTGTTTGATAGTATAATGTGTGTGCTGATCAAGTTCATATATTAATATAATAAAATATTTATTTTATTAGAGATGTTTTTTATGATTAACTGTATTTAATTTAAAATGTATTAATTATATTTTTACAACATAATTTATTTATACAATTTATTAATTTACTTAATTGATTAAAATGTTAATCAATAATAAACTATCCTTTATTTAAAGATATTTTAACATTACTTTTTAAGAAAACTTCTGTTTAGTTTAATTTGTATTGATTAATTTTTACTTATTTAGGCAGGATCATCCACTGAACGGACCACTCCTAACCAGCAACCTAGTGTGTTAGTAATAAATCACAATGGTGACCAACCACAAGATGAGTCTAGTCATGAAGAGGAAATATTGACAGTAAGTTAAAGCTTAAAATAATGTATAAAGGTTACTTGATTAATATATTTATTGGTTAAAATTATCGGACAATTTATCTATTTTACTTTTAAAAGATAACCTGTAATATATTCAATGTTAATCTTTTGTTGATAAGATAATTTTAGCACTTCAATTGTAATACAGTTATTCGTCGAGTGAAATCTCAAGGGGAACTGTTGAGATATCAAGTTTTATTTTAATAGGTTAGTGGGGATTTCAATTTAGTTTGAGATAACAAAAAAATTTTAGATACTTGTGTTCAACATAATAAGAAATAACTGCATTTAAAAACTGTCTTATTCAAATTATATATCAGTAAATCATGGATTATTTTGTTTCTAATGATTTTGATGATAAACCAATTTTTTCCTTAGTCTCAACAAATGTTTCAACTGTAAGTATTAAAAAATTGCATTTAATATGATAAATGGAAAAATATTGAATTATGTTACAAATGTAAGCTTAGTTACTTAATAAATCTAATAGAAATCAGAAATTTAGTTTTTATTTAACTTGGACTTAAAAATCTCAATAGAATTCATCATCTAATTTATTGAAGAAGTTATTATTTTTGATAGTAACTAAATTTTAGTTTTTCTATTAGGATTAAATTTAAATATTTTTTCTAAAATTAGTTGCACATAATTATAATTTATATTTCAGGAAAATAATTCAAAAGATCACCCCCGCCATATAATTCCTGAGTTATGTCGTCAATTCTATAATAATAAATGGGTTACTGGTACTGGAGGTGGAATAAGCATTAAATACAAGTACTTAATTATTATTTACTGTCTTATTATAAATTTAAATATAACAAAGTAATATAATATAAAAATTAGTTGAAAATATTATGCTTATTATTTCTTTATAAGATGCTTTAATTACACATAATTTGTTTGTTTGTAATAAAGTATTATTTATTTAAAAAATATAATAACGTTAAATTATATTAATGACGTGTTATGATATATTTAGTGACCAAATTTTTATTGCCCCATCTGGTGTACAAAAAGAACGTTTAGAATCTGACGATCTTTTTGTTCAAGACCTGAATGGCATTGACATATTGACCCCCAAATCTGAAAAAAAATTATCAAAAAGTCAGTGCACTCCAATATTTATGTGTTCTTATAATGGTAAGTTAAAAGTTATTAAATTCATTTTTATTTTTTCATAAATAATTTTTGTAAAAAAATTTAGAACGCAATGCAGGAGCTGTGATACATGTACATTCACAAAATGCAGTAAAAATATGTATGTTAAATCCAGAAAATGAATTAAGAATAACTGGCTATGAAATGATCAAAGTAAGCAAAAACTATTATATGGTAATTTAATAAATTGATTAATTTGTAAATGTTGTTTAGGGAATTTTCAATGAAAAAACGGGGAAATTCTATGATAACGATGAAGAGCTTATTATACCAATAATTGAAAATTCAAAATATGAGAAAGATTTAGTTGACACTTTTAAAATGGCCCTGACAAAATATCCTAGTACTTCTGCAGTTTTGGTCCGCAACCATGGAATGTACGTATGGGGCAGAGATTGGCAGTCAGCTAAGACACAGTAAGTATAAACTTTTAATGCTATCTGACATAAAGAAAACAAATTGCTTATTCGTTTTAATGGATTTTTAGACTGGAATGCTATGATTATTTATTCAAAACAGTAATTTTCAAGAAGATACATCATCTTTAATCAAATTATACCTATACTTGTAGATTTAACTCTTATTGGATAGCAATTGGGAGCTATTCAGGGACTATGAAGATACATTTTTCTTTAACTATTTTCAAACTAAATATATTTGTCTTGTGTATTATTTCATAATATAAAAGTCTTACTCAACTATAATTTTTTATTATTTGACTTTAAGTTATTTAGAACATAAAAGTCCAGTTTATAAATTATTGGTTCAAGTATATAAGCATCTAATTATTATATTATTTTATTGATAAATGTATTCTATTTCTATAAAATATATTTTAGCAATTAACATTTATTTCCTTGAATATCAGATTAGTAGTAGAAGTGCACATATGGTTTTTAAAAGTATACTAATTAACTTAAATATTTAGTCCAATCCCATCTGAAATTTCTATACCATAGGCTTTATTGATTTGCTAAAATAATGTAAATCAATTTCATACTTGTAACTTCAAACTTCAAAATAGACCCTTGTCTATGAAATTGGATCCAAAATAAAAACTGTTATCCAACTGGAAGAAATAGATGACACCCACAATGAAAAATAATTGCCATCCCTATAATTTTTTTTTTTTTTTTTTTTTTAATATACAGTGAAACCTCTAAATACTGGACACTCTTGGTCATCAACATTTTGTACATTTTTTGGAGGTTGTGAGGTAGTGGAAGAGTAAGAAAAAAAAATAAACAATCTCAAAATATATCAAAAACATACACAAATGCATATTCATATTATTTGTATGTATGAATATACTTTTATGTAATATTATTTAAAACAAAATTTAATACCGGATGAGACGGTTATTTTCTATAATGCATATAATGCCATAAATGTCTTTTATTTAGAAATCATTCTATAGATAAACAGTGAAAAGAAAGAATGTCCACAATTTAGAGGTCTATTAAGGGAGGTTTCATTGTATATACTTGTAAACTCAGTGTTTCTCAACCAGTGTTCTGTGACACACAAGTGTGCCATGACCGTGGTAAATGTATATAGTGTGTATTATTAGGTATTAATTTTTGATTATATAATATATTAATAATAAAAATGCCTTTCATTGTTTGCTTTTTATCATTTTAATACTAGTGTTCCATGAAACTGTATAGTTATAAAAAATGTGCCGTGAGCATAAAAAAGTTGAAAACTGCTGTAATATTAATGTTACCTTTTGTTACTACTAGCTATACTTAATATTGTTTATTAATATCAAGAATAATCAATAGTTACGATATTAACATTTAAAAAATAAAATTTTTGTATAATTTTCAGTTGAAATGATTAGTATTATTTGTTAAAAGAATAGCCTAGTATAAATAATGTAATAATTTACTATTTTTTTTATTAATATGTTGAAACATTTTAAAACTAAGTAAATTTAGAAAAGACGGTAAAAGTAGTATCCACTCTACAGTATGTTTTAGAGTATACTTAATCATTGTGTAAGTTGCTGAGCAAAGATGGTTAGTTAGTTTGTATTAAGTATTTATTTTTATTGCTATTATATTTATTTATTTTACTATTAATAATAATATAGTAAGCGTTTAACACTAAATGAATTTAAAATTTATCCAAAAATGTTATTGCCCATTGAAAAGTATAATATATATAAAAGATTGAAAACTTAATGAAGAATATTGTTGCATAAGAAAATATCTAAAATCATTATTCTTTGTTTAAATGTCATTCCTTCAAATATAAATGTCTATAAAAAATGTGGGCCCGTGTATTATTTAAATTTTTGAATTTTGATACAAAAAATTTCTGAATAATTTATATTACACTTTTAAGGCTTAGGAATATACATTTTATCGATTAATACAATTTACATTTTTTTTTTTTCAAGAAAATTAACTAATTTAGATTTTAGAAATTTTCAAAAATCTTTATTACTGATATAGAGTGTTATGTGTCTGTAATTGGAATCGTTTAACAATAGTGATTGAGTATTTACCTATTTTGATAGTTTAAATAATAACCTAAGAAATTATAATAGTTTAATACTTTGAAATATATCATGATGTGTACTGTATTTATAACACAAGAAACCTAATGTATTTTTTTTTTTAAACTGATAAGACGTCAATCAGATGATGGTTCTTCTATTAAGTAAAACTAAAGTTATAGATAATTAAATAAAACTGCTACATTTATTAATAAACAAAGATTTGATCAAATAACATAACAAGTATAATCAAATACAACAAATAAAAAGTAAAACTATTAACTATAATAATTTAATACTGCCAACTAACAAGTATGTCAACTTGTTTATAAAATAATAGTACATGGTAACCAGTAACCCCTTCCTTCTTTTTGTCTACTAGGTAACCCATACAGTTTAAAAATGATTAAATGTTTAAAAAAAAAATAAAACCAATAGTTTTAATCAAAAGGTAAAGGAATGCTTGTGTATTGCATTATTGGACAGACCATTTCTACTTGTAGAGCAGTGGCCATACTGTCCGTGGCACTGTCAGTCTCTCCCAAACTCTCCAAAACTTTCCCCAAATTATACCTGTAATGTTTAAATCAATAGCTAAAAACATGGAACAATATATTTAATTTATGTAAATTTTAATGTACCATGTTTCTGGAGCATAAGGATTTATTTTTGCAGCATCTCTTAGTGTCTTTTCAGCTAATCTATGACTACCCAGATAATGGTACATCAAACCCTATATAAAAAAAGTACTGTAATTAAATAACTAATTGAAGAATAAATATAATTACCAAATGTTGTAAGCTTTTCAAATGAGCTGGATGTACTGTTACTGCATTTTGATAACATTGTTTTGCTTCATTGAACTCATTTCTTTTTTCGTGAAATAACCCTCTCTGTATCAACATGGTAAGAGAAAGAATTTATTTGTGAAATAATAGTTAAATTTTATGATTTATAATGACAAAGATTACATTAAATTTAAGTATCTACATAGGCACATACAATACGACAGATAGAACTTTAGTGAAACCCGTAATTTAAGATAGTACTATTAGTCAGTAACATAATTATGGGGGGAGATAGATATATTACTTCTTTGACTCCCATTTTTTAGCTTAATTTAAATGGTTATAATTGTATTTTCCGTTTTCACTATAATAAAATGCTGGACCATCAATAATTTTAGTTATATCTTCCCATTCAAAGAAATCTTAAATACATCAATGCTAATAATAATACTACACTTTGATCTTAGCTTATCAATACTATTTTAATTGTTTCTATTGAGGTCAAATACCACAGCAGACATTAGCATTTAAAAATTATACTCTATGTATGCCTATGAGACTAAATCATAATAATACAAATGCAAACAAATATTAAATTATAAAATAATAATAAATAAAAAAAAAAATTATGTCAGGTAATCTATAGAAATATAGATCTTATTAACCTTAGTTAAAAGTAATATATGAAGCACATTTACCATGAACATAATGTGGTGTGATAATGGAAAAATACTAGCAGCTTCCAATAAACAATTATTTGCTGAATCAAATTGTTCTTGCGACAAGTATACCTCAGCTAAAAGTAACCAAACGTTTTGCTGTGTGTGCCACACCGTATTTGTCACTGGTCGTTGGGGTACCAATGAACTAATAGATGACGCTACTTCTGATAAGGCTTGTTCAATACGTGCTGGTCCCAAAGAATCTATTCAATTGCAATATATTATCTTTAAAATCAATAAAAATATTAAGCAACAATGTGAATGAGTGTATTACTTGAATCTTTATCTGAGAGTTCAGTGGTATAAAGCTGAAAAATACTGCGAGTATCAGTATGTTCTATAGAAGGAGAACCTTCGTTGCTAGCAGAAGAAGCTTTGCACATAGAAAGCATATGTTTAGCTGTCACAAGTGCAACCTTTTGAAATATAATACATAAAAAAATATATATTTATATAATGCATAGCTATAAAATCAGTTAAGTAATTTAATTACGTCAGAAGCTTCTGTCTGCAACTCAATCCTGGCTCTAATGAATAATAAACCAATATGATCGGGAAAATCTTCCAAAGATGACTCTAAAAGAGATTTGGCTTCGTTTATTTTTTTCTGAGCACTCAACAATAATATAGCTAACTGCAATGATGGCGTATGTTCAGGATTCAGTGTTAATGCTTGACGTACTTTAGAAGTAGCTTCTGGCACTTTAGCCAAACAGGCATAATAAAATGCCAAATAATAATAAACCAAATGATCATTGGGATCCAATTGTTGTGCTCTAAAATAGTTATCGTTTATAAATATACATAAATAATAATTTAAAATAATAGTACTTTGTAAGAGATTCGAGGCATAGGGCATGATATTTATCCTTGACTGATTTCAAAAACGAAGTCAATGCCATACACTGTGCTCCAATACCTATGTACAGATTACATCTTGATAATAAATTTTCCGAATGCAATTTTTCTCTTTTAAGAGCTTCTTGACTCCAACTTAATCCTTCTTCCATCTAAAATTAAATATTAGTATTAATATTTTTTCAAATTAGCATAATTTATAGAGTAAACCTTAAATAAATGTTGATAACAAATACGAGCAGCTAATAAACATGGAACAACTGCTTTGGGTTGCATATATATGACTTGAGTCAATACTTCTAAAGCTTTAATATGACGACCAGCAGCTTCAAGACATAAAGCTTGTTGCATCCAAACATGAGCATCATCAGCAGAAAATTTCATTGCACGTTCAAAAGACTAATCAAATTTTATAGTTTTATAGATAATAATTAAAATTAAGTATAGTAGAATACATATATGTAAAAGCTAACCTCATACAACATATTATATTGACCCCAAAGAACTAATGCAAAGGTAAGGAGATCATAAATGGCTGTGGCTAAACTAAATGCTCTAATTCTTGCTTCTTTGAATTCTGGAGACTGACTAAGTACTGCATTTCTTGCTGCCATTGCTTCACTATTGTTAAATGGTACAATTAGTAAATTTGAAATTATTTTTTAAATATCAAGCAA